TGGGTTCATCAAGGGCTTTTCGACATGCAGGATGGCATATATGATCCTTGATAACCCAGACACTAGCAGAAAACCGACCCGAGGTCTGACTCATCCAAACTCATTCACAATTTCCAAAGCGATACGCATTCCCAACATCCATCTAGTAGAAATAGAAGATGACATACCTGCAACATCTGGAGGAATACTGATCACCTTCTGCTGGCATGACCAACCGCGCTACCCTGTAGCAGCCTAAACCCTTGGAGCGATAAACTCCCTTGTGCACTTTCTCGTACGTGCTGCACTGACTCCGGCCCTGCCGACCTTTCACCCGATGATCATAAGTCATGGGTCTCTTCCCGAGATCCTCTACAATACGCACCTGACACGACCCTTTCTTCTCAAAGTGCTCAAAATCGATCTCGTGTCCTTGGACTTAAAAGTCATATCCTCCAGGGTTTGACACCCTGTCACGCTTACTAGCTCACTTGCCAATGGCTAAGCTGCCACAACTAGAACATCTTCTGTCCCCAAACCGGGTCACAAACTCCTCCCCAAAACTTCTCAGATTCTCCAAGACTCTCACTGATTCGAGTATGGATCCTGTGCTTTCAGTAGTACGGGCCCAATACTACCTTCCACACCTATCCATACTTTCCTCAGCATTCCTCCCTAATCCTCCAAGTCACTTCCTCAAACTGATATACCCACGTCTCACTAAACCTTACTACTAACCAATTGAATCATATCCTAGGCTTTCCTAGGTTCCCGAACTCACCCAATCCTTAGCTGATGATAGATTCCCAGTAATGTCAACTAGCTACCTCATGCATATAGCCACATGCAACAGAGATCAGATAATCCTTCGAGTAAAAGACCCATCCCTAGAACGGTTGGACTCAAACAAGAGCTGCACAATAGGGTCAAATCTATCACTCTAAGATTATCCAGCCTGTGCCATATGTGACTTAGCATATTCACTTAATAGCTAGCTCACATTACTAAGAGTCCCAAAAAGCAAAAAGCAAGCAACATTTAGACAATGGAAAATCTAACCATCATATTCCAATCAAACCATTCTATCCTCCAATCAGTAATCTGTACATGAAATTCAAAGGCTCATACAATCAGACATAACCTAAACAGGCTATCCTATCACTGAATGATCAGTACTATCATGCAGCTCATTAAGCACATACAATAGGCATATAAGGCATCCTTCCTAGATCCTTAGCCCTAATCTAGCATGCAATTCTCATAATCATAACATATCATAACATAACATGTATGCAGTTCTCATAATCATATAATATCATAACATAACATGTATAGGTATCTTGGGGAAAACTTACTTGAGCCCAGCTGATTGCACGCATCACACACCTTATTCTTTTAAAAGTTCTTTTCTCTCTTTCAAATTCTTTTCAAACTTCTTCTTATAAAATGATTTTTATTTGAAAATTTTCATACCAAGTCCTTAGTTTGAGTCCAGACCAACCCGAGAGTGTGCCCGAATCCCTCAAACCAAGGCTCTGATACCAACTTGTAACATCCCAAAATTTAAGACCAAAAATTTCATTTTTAGATAAGTTATTATAAAACCAACAGTATAAGAAAACATCCATAATATCATGTCATGTCAAAACCAAAGTAGAAATAATCAAAACATGTTATCATAAAACAATACCAGAGTGTAATCCCAAAGATCTCATGTGCGGAAAACCATAGTGTGATGCGCTGCGATCGAGCCGGCTCTTTTCCTTTGAAAACGAGTACCTGAAACCAAAACTGTAAATCGTAAGCACGAAGCTTAGTGAGTTCCCCCATCATACCACATACCATACAATCACATATTGCCAGGAATATCTGGGTGCCCGACCTACCCTGCTGAGCATACTGAGGTGCTCAACCTACTCCATGTCAGACATATATGGGTGCCCGACCTACCCTTTCAGTATCTTTCAACCGGTAACCGGGAGCTTGCCTCCCATTTGGTATCTTTCAACCGATAACCGGGGACTATTTCACCCCTACCACTACCACATAAAAGAATAGCATAAACACATAAATCACATACTGCATAGCATATCTGGGTGCTGGCTAATCCCTTCGGTCCTGTCGACCGGTAACTGGGGACTATTTCACCCCTACTACAACTATCACATAACATCATATCATGCTAGCACATAAACATAACAAGTAGTAGCAAACCTAGATAATTATCACAAAGACAATCATCTAACATACAACTCCTACTAGTGGGTCGACATTGTGGCCGTAGACCCACCACTACTGGAAGGTAACTCACCTCACACTGCTAAAGTCCCGTAGACACAATCCTAGCTGCTGGTTGACAGATTCCCGAACTGTCAATATCAAAACATTACCCAATTAATAATTGGGTTCCAAAACATAACGATAAATACATACATGAGGGTAAATACTACTTTACCCCTAACTTAGCTTTATTCAAGCCCAAGGCCCAATCCAAAGGCCCAAAGATCAATCTGTGAATCAGGGCCCAACATATGGCCCAATTTTCCAGATTGGGCCCAAACCTTTACATGGTTTCACTCTAAGGCCCAACCATTCATTCCAGTCCAACCTTTGACATTCTACTAGCCTAATATCATATAATCATTAAGGCCCAAACTATGACCCAACTTTCCAAATTGGGCCCAAACCCTCAATTGGGCCTTATCCTAAGCCCATCAACATATTCTAGTCCATATGATTATTCTTGGATGGCACATTAATAATCAAATCATCAAGGCCCAATAGAAAGGCCCAACAATAAACCCAATTGAAATTAGGGTTTTCACATGAAATGATGATTAGGGTTAAGTGTTCCTACTTAACCCATTAAGGACTTAATCCATTAAGTCCCAGCTGGCCTTGGGTTAATTGCAGTTGGTTATTAATTAATATTTTAAGTTCATTAAATAATTATGATGCGGTCCCGATAAGTCCCAAATTAGGGTTTCATTGCATTAGGGTTTTCCAGACCCTAATTTGGGTTTCCAACCCATCTTAGGCCAATGGACCAAAATCAAGTCCTTAAGCCCATTAGGGTTTCCTTAAGTCAATTAGGGTTTTGCTAGGCCCATTAGGGTTTCACTAATCGGGCACCACCCACTACCACCTCGGGTAGTGGTGGTCAACGGTGGCTCACGGCGGCGGCCACCACCTCACGGTGGTGGTTAGGGTTTCTAGTCCAATCGAGTCCAAGCATCCCAAACGACATCCAAACACAAATAAGCACACTGCCACCCAACGCGACGGCTGGTGGCGGCAGGAGGCAGCAGCGACCACCTCACGGTGGTGGTTAGGGTTTTCCTTTTCATTATTCCATTTCCAATTACATTTTACAAGGCTAAATATCAAGTAAATACACACCCACTCACTAAGATAAACACATAAATGGCGGCACATGGTGGCAGCCACCACCTCACGGTGGTGGTGGTGGCTGTTCTTCAAGAATTTCGGCTAAACAACACCCTAACACCACTTAACTACAATAGACACACACACACACGTTTTCTGCTTGCAAACGGATCCAACCACCCTCCTGGTGGCGGTTGGCGGCGACGATTGCACGAAGTGGCGGGCAGAAGCGACACTAGCGGCAAGCACAACGTCATCGGGAAAAAGCTCTGCCGTTGGGCAGCAGTGGCGATGCAATAACGGAAAGATGGTGGAGAAACGAATGGAGCAACCCTAGCAGTCGCGACAACCGACGACAACTTCATCTTCTACGTAGGCGGGTAGCGGTGGTAGTTTCTCGGTGGTCTTAGGGTTCCAACGGAGACGCTTGGACCAGTAGAACAATTAGGAGGAGGGAAGCGGTGTAAAACAGCAACGACAACCGCTATCTCAGTCTTCACTCTAGTCGCCGGAGTCACACGATCGGTGGTTCACCATGGCGTCACGGAGGTGGAGGCTGTGGGATGGCGGAGGAAGGATGGCAGCGGCGTTCATCGATTTCCGGCAAGGCTAGGAGGTGGCGGCTGAAGATCTCTCGATTATGGCGGCTTGGTGGTCGGAGGAGCAAGGGTGGCCGGTGGTGGGAGGCATAAGGGGGAAAGGGGGTGACGGCTGCATATGGTCCTTAGGGTTAGGGTTTGCTTAAACCTTTATACCCGATTCCACTCAAGAGTTTGCCATAATGGCAATAACAGTCCCTCCATGCCCCTTTTTATTCAAATGTAATCCAATATTTACTCTTTCAACCCTGGCTTTGGAATTCTTCTTCAAATTAAATCTGGTAATTACCATTTAAACCCTCAGCATCAAAATCCTTTACACCTTAGGTACAAAATTTACTATACAGCCCCCAATATCTTTATTATTACATAATCAGCCCTTCCACCTCATTTCCTTTTAAATTAAATCCAAATAATTACCACGGAGCCCCCTGTCTTCATAAATAATTATAACTGAGTCCGGAACTTACACTTGTAATCCTCAACTTCTAAATTATGCCAATTAGCTCTTAGAGACCATCCTTTGATACATAATTATTTATTTTGGGGCTACGATTCATTCATCAATTTATTTATTAAATAAACGGGGTGTTACACAACCACTCCTGAATTTTCACTTGTGGACGAACTAACACCCATTTCCCCTTTTTCTCCCCCTTGCGATACTTGCACAACACGAGGAGCATTGGTTGGAAGTTGAAGAACGAAAGTCCTGATAGGATCCAGTTCAACCTTGATGTTTGTCTAGATATTAGAAACCATTTGAGAAATGGATTCTGGAGAAATTGTTGATTTTGTCGAAAGCATAGTTTTGATTTCGGTTAAGAACTATTCAACTTTATAAAAAACTTGACCATCCCTCTTCGTCTTGTCTTGAAGACTAATCATGTAATCTTTGTTAAAGGAAGTGATGTCTTCAGTCAATCATGTAGTTTCTTCAGATACCACATCCAACTTCTTATGTAGAGTTGTAAAACTCTCAGCAAAATTCTTAACTTTAGATTCCAACATCGTTCAGATATCTGTTATCCGAGTCTATAAAAAGACTTTCGTTTCCTCAAGCTGCTTTGCAAGAAGCTCATGAAGTTCTTTCGAAACATCACTAAGCTTAGAAATTTCACCATTAATACTTCTAGAATGATTGAGAACCATTTCATCATTTCTCTTATCAACATCATCTATTAGAGTACTCAGTCGAGACTCTTGAGTCGTGAGAAGATAGTCGACTTCGACTCCACTCACATAATGCTTGCTTCCTGTATCAGCCAAGAACTGTAAAATCGAATTCATCTTGGAATTCAATATTTTGAATTGTTTTCCTGACATTATCAATTCATCAGGAATATTTTCCTCCTATGGATCAAAATGAAGATCAACAAATGAAACCATGACATCATCATCGTTAGCTTCCTCGCTTTGAATCACTTTATCAGCCTCAGTGGATTGAGATGAGAAAAGTGGTGGTTGTAAAACTGAGATGTCGAAATGATGGATGTTGTTGTTGTTTCGACTGTTGATATCCCTTCATCCATGTTTACATTTGTGTCCTTATTAGATAAGTTCACAGTAATGTCTGGAATTTCGATCTCCTCCATTACGGACTTGGTACCCGAACCCCCTGTTGGTATGAATTTCGCCTTCTTGGGGATAATTGGATTTTGATGTTCAAAGGAATCGATGTTTGCACCCATATTAAATATGTTTGTAGTGACATCCGGAATCCTTATCTCCTCGAAATTCGACTCGACAGGGGTATCCTTTCACGGTGAAACAATATAATAATCCTCGATTTGAATGTCTAACCTGTCGCTATCACTTTCATTCTTTGTCTCAACAGTTATATTCTCAAGTGGAACACTAACTTCACGTTTTCTCTTCTTTAACTTTTTGGCTTGACGCTTCTTTGAGGCTGGAGATCCAGGACATGAAACATCACGAAATAGAACACCCTTCTTGTAAATTGTGGCCTTTTAACCTTCTTTTGACCTCCATTAGAAGAAACAGGATTGGAAGGTTCGAAAATAGTAGGCTCAACACTTTCAACCCTGGCTCTTGCGTAGATGCCTTGATTGGAGAATGAAATGGTTTCTTAGCTAGTTTCTTAGTTCGTTTAAGAACCCCAGATTTCGTTGGGATGGTTTCTTTAACAACATTCTCCTACACTTCTGGTTGTTTCTCAACCAGTTTCTTCTTCTTCTTCTGAGCTTTGGACTCTTTTTGAGAAACAGGTGGTGGTAACACAGCTGTTGTAGTAGTGGAATCAAGTGAAAGAAAATAATTGAACAACACAGGATTTATGGGGTCAACCAACTTAAACATTGAATCAGGAATCCGAGCAACACTAGGAAAAACAGTAGCATCATCCATAAATACTCTTGGAACATACATCGTTGGAAAATCAACAGATTCAATACCAACATGGTTGAGAATATTCTCCTGACTGTAAAACTCTATCAGAATAAGTCCCCAAAACCTAGCACTCGACACTCCTGTGGCTAGATTCGTATAAGAGATTGAGGTTCCAAACTTTTCCCATAGAAGTGATGCATAATCGACATTAAGACCATAGTATATTCCCGCCATAATAGAATATACTTCAAGCTTGGACTTGTCAAGCCCAAAACTTATTCTTGTCAAACACCTTAGAATAATCCAAAACAAGAAAATCTAAACACAAGGAAGACTGGAATTCTTAAAATGGCTAATTGCAGTGAGAGTAGGTTGATTTCACATTTCATTGAACATATGAATAACTTGATAATTCGTTACTTCATAGAAAGTACCTGAAGTTGGTAGTCTTAGAATTTGGGCAAACTGTTTCCGAGTGAGCTTCTTCGATTTTGAGTTTGTAATCTGGAATGTGACCACCTTGGTTGTTTTTTTGTAGACTACAATTGAAGCAGCAAGTGACAACCATTACATAGGGATTGTAAACGATGAAGAAAGAGCATGCGATAGAAAAAAGTTATTCAGAGTTTGAATAACCATTCGTAACTCCTCCGGATATGTGTCAAGAGATGGAATCAAACGAAGATTGGTGAATGGAATCTTTATCATAGGTTGCGAAATTTCTTCATCATTGGTTGTTGTTGGTATTGGGTTTTGAGCACTATAACACTCCTATGGTGCACATGCAACTCTAAATGCTTTGGATCTATGTTTTCTCTAATTATACATGCATATTTTCAATTTTCCAAAGCATATATCCTAACTAGCATACAAATTTTCAAATGAACAATACAACTAGTTAAATAACTTACCTCTTAGAAGGACTTGTAGTTCTTGACCTTTGAAAGCTTGAGCACCCCAAGTGTGATTCCTCTAATGGTTCACAAACACCAATATACAAGAGGAGGCTTGAGAGAATAAGTTACTTGCACAAAATCAATATCACTCTCCAAGAATGTTGTGGCAACCGATTTTGGATCTAGGGGGGTTTATTTATAGTGTGGCAAATTCTAGGGTTACACTTTGTAAACCATAATGACCTTTCATATTACTCAGGATCCATGGGTTAACCTCCATGGACTATCCATGGATTATCTCATTGGTTTAGCCCATCCTAAATAACCATGGATCATTAGCCCACACTATTAGAATGATTGATTTACACAATCAATGCCCATATATTTAGTTAGTCTCTTTTGATCACAAAATTAATTCCAAATTAATTCTTGATCAATACTAATTAAATAATATGATTTCATATTAATATATTATACTTGTAATATATTAATAAATCATAAAGAACCTTACTCTCAAAAGTCCATCCTATCAAATTGCACTGGTGAAGGCAACCCAAAAGGTCCATGCTACAATCGGGTCAAGTACATCCCAGTTATAGTTATGGGCTTAGACACCAAATCCAACAGTCTCCCACTTGGATTAGTCTAATAACTATAGCTGCCAATGCGATTTCAGGATCCGACTTAACAATTGTAAGCTTTCAAAACCCGCTGTTGAACTCTGACCTAGTCAGTAACGCGTCATTCAGATAAGGGATCATATAGTCCTCTGTTCTCAAGATATCTATGCGGACAAATACATGGAACATAGTCATACTTATTGTCCTGCAATTTGTTTCCCGATTTCCGATTCCTTTGACATAGAACATAACTGAACACATCAATTTAGTTCTGACCGGGCCCGACACATAGTCAAAATAGAATCATCGAGGGGCCCAAGATATCTCTTTTAATCCTCTTAGGATAAAAGGAACGGATAAACTTCGACATTATATGCTTGTACTAACTACTCATCAAATCATGCACAACGACATGTTTTATAACATCAAGTTACTGATGCGTTTTCATGCCATCAATGCACAACCAACTCGTATTCAACAACTCATATATCTTGGTTTGAAGATTATATGAGATTATCATCTCATAATTACTCGTGATAAATTCCATGAAGTAATTCAGGTGAGCGCGGGTTGAATCCAATACTCAAATCTTATTTCAGAAGTACTCATGAATGGTGTAGCAAACTTTTTCTATGTCTAACGCCTTAGACAATCTACAAGCCAACTCATGACATTCTTCTTTCATACTTACTTCCAACGTACGATCGACTGTGGATAGTTTGAATAATTCTTATTATTCTTGAAGTCAAAACATGCAAAGTGAAACAATAGTAAATAATTAACACAAGATAGTAACTTTACTTATAAATAAAACTCCTTTTATTTAATCATCAAATGTCAATTACAATTTAGCTATTACAAGTTTCGATTTATCTACTTACTAAAACTAATATCGTCCGTTAGCCCAATGCCCCTCGCATGCTGCAAGTGTTTAACCCTAGTCAGTCCCTTTGTAAGGGGATCTGTTGGGTTGTCCTCTGACGATGTCCTCTTCACCACGAGGTTTCCTTCTTCTACTTGATGTCTTATGAAGTGGTACTTTTTGTCGATATGCCTGGATCTACCATGATCTCTCGGTTCCTTGGTTAAGGAAACCGTACCTTCATTATCGCAGAAAATTTCCACAGGCTCCTTTATGGATGGAATTACTCCAAGGTCTCCGATGAAGTTTTTCAACCATATCGCCTCCTTCGCCACTTCGCTTGCTGCTATGTACTCTGATTCGCACGTTAAATCAGCTACAGTCTTCTGCTTGGAACTTTTCCATGTTACTGCTCCTCCATTCAGGGTAAACACCCAGCCCGACTGAGAGCGGATATTATCTCTGTCGGTTTGAAAGTTGGCGTCACTATACCCTGTCAATCTCAAGTAATCACTCCCACCGAGGGTAAGGATCCAGTCCTTAGTCCTCCGAACGTATTTAAGAATGTTCTTAACCGCAGTCCAATGAGCTTTACAAGGATTCCCTTGATATCTGCTGACCATGCTCAAAGCAAAGGCCACACTAGGGCGAGTACAAGTCATAGCATACATGATCGAACCAACTGCGGAAGTATATGGTATGTGACTAATCTCTGCTATCTCAGTCTCTGTACTCGGACTCTGAGTCTTACTCAGTTTTGTATTACTTTGGATAGGTAAGTCACCTTTCTTGGACTCCTCCATGATGAAATGTTTCAACACCTTGTCCAAGTTGTTGAAACATTAAGTGACCCTCTTAAACTAAAAAGAGATCCGTAGTTACTCATGGAACCGCAACCAACCTCTCCACGCAGTCAGATCAGCAACCGCAGTCTTTGTCATCAGTTCTTAGATTCAGTCTTTTATCTGTTCTTTTGTTTAAGTACTTTCTTTTATCCATAGTGCCCTGCGTGGCAACTCAAATAGATTAGGCTGTATGTAATCTTCAAGACTCTATAAATAGAGTCTTCTATTTCTCAATGGAACTACTTCTACCTCTCTTACGCATCTTAAATCTTATTACTTGTCTTTCTCTCTACTACCTCATCACCTAAATATAATCGTAACTCGTAATCTCTCTTCAAGAGCAAGTCTTTTTAGACTTAATCACTAAGTTTGATCTCACTTACTAACTTGGTCTGATTGCATTCCTTGTTAAGAATCAACTTAAGTGTATACTTGATATAATAGTTGTTGTCTTTTATATTTCCTTATCTTTCCGCAACTAATCATCTAACTATCTAACTCTAACTTATATTATTGTTGAGCTTTATGATCCTTTGAGATTAACTTTAATTTCCGCAATATAAACTTGTTCTAACGTTTGTTCAAGTGTGTTTCTCAAGTTTTTCTCTCAACAATTGGTATCAGAGCCATAGTGGTTGCTTTTTGAAGCAAAACTTTGATTTTCAAAAGGCCTTCTATACCACTGGAGCTCATTTCTTAAAAAAAAACTTTTAAAAAAAACAAGGAAATATGGCACAAGCATTATCTCTCAATGTTTCCAACAGTGTTGGTGGTTCTAATAGAGCCCCAATATTGGTGGCAAATGAGTATCATCACTGGTCTCAGAGAAGGGAAAAATACTTAAGGAGACTTGGTAGAGATGTATGGCGATCTATAGAAGAAGGACCACATGTTCCTGTTCTTACACCAGTTCAAACCGACGGCGCCACAGCCAGACTAGGAGGAGGTCAACCAGTCATGAATCGTCCCACCAAAGATGATCTCGATAAAATGGAAAATGATGCTGTTGCTTTTTATGAAATCTCTTGTGGAGTTGCTCCTGACAACTTCGACATTATCATAAACTGCAAATCAGCAAAAGAGATCTGGGAAGTTCTCAAAACTTGTATGAGGGCTCAG